AGGCCTTAACGTAGGACATTTGTCACGATTGAGCTTATTAAGACACTCTCATGAATCTTTTTGGCAAAACACAAAACACTCACCTGTCCAGGCAGGCTACAGACAGCACACAAACACCAAACTGTCCATCGAGCATAGGCTGAGATGCGTTAATAAGCTGTGCATATCTTGCATGCGTGTGCATGTGCGATGATCTGGCTGCAATCCTCCGTGCCCGGAGCTCCTGGATGTCCCTACCCGGATTCGAGCCGGGGTCTTCACGGCCACAACGTGATGTACTAACCACTATACGATAGGGACGAGCAAATGGGATGGACAGTCGAGGCCTCACAGCGCAATGGTCCTAGGCCCCAAATTACACACAACAATATTCGAAACCACACTGTATTACCATACAATTCCAAACCTCTCCATGCGGGGCCAACATTGACGGCTTCAATTGCCGGAGAACCAGTTTTGGGTTTGGTGGCGTACTTATTATTATAGTCCACGTCAGAACATAATATGTGTGCTGGATCCGAGAACATTAATATATATTGGGTCTTCTTACTAATGCAGGCCCGTCAGCAGCATAGGGTGATTATGATATATGTGATGAATGATGGGAGCGAGGGGAGAACCTACAATCAATCAGCGGCAGCAGAACAGGATGAAGGACGCTGTGAAGCGGAAGGACGCCATTTACGGACAACCATATATAATACTACATTTTCACCCCTGCACCAGGCCCTTACCACTTTCACATCAAACCTGCCAGTGTTCCATCGGGGTACATTTGAAGATAGATGTGGCTTAACATGTGGAGCTCGAGCACATGCACCGCCACCTCACGTAGGCGGGCTGTGCCTTTCCTGATCACTCGTGTGAGTTGCTGTTGCTGCTGCAGCTGTTGCTGCTGCTGCTGCTGCTGCTGCTGCTGCTACTAGTATACTACTGCCGCTGTATACTACTGCCGCTGCAAGAAGCTCACTGAACTATCTCGTTATATGAAGGAAAGGGTTACAACATGGATTCCGTCACCGAACTCCTTTGTCGATTCCCATAAAATCTTCAGTCTTTGCGATACACGAAGTTATACATGTGGATGATGATCATCCTGATGAGATTGACCATCCTGTCCGCTGTACCATAACACCATACATTAACATTTCAATTCCGCAGATAACATCTTTTCCCAAGGGTCCGCTTCTGCATGATTTGCACGTTCAAGCGACTGCACAGCCGTATCTGCGATATTTCCGAGCCTACCAGGGATCGAACCTGGAATCTCCGGTTCCGTAGACCGGCGCTTTATCCATTAAGCCATAGGCCCTCATTGCCGTACACATGTAGTACAACTTGCGTTATATGTAGCCGTACAAAACATAGCTTATAGGATGAGTAAAACGGTGCTGATGAAAGGAGCTCCTAGCTAACGAAAAGCGTACTCCAATAAGCCCTATGTACCCTAGTGGTTACACACGAACTTGCGGGAGGTGATCGCAAGGAATGGGACAGCTCGCTTGGGCTACTTTTCCACTTAAGCGCATAACAAGCAGTGGCTTTAGATTTGCCCTATGAATGTACTATTACATACTACTACTTCTATACTGCTATTACAACAAGAAATGCAACCTCTACTACTACTACTACTACTACTACTACTACTACTACTACTAATAATAATAATAATAATAATAATCCTATACTACAACTACTGCTTCTAATAATAATTCTAATTCTAATACTACTCATACTCTTATACTACTAGAATACTACTAGAATACTACTAGAATACTACTAGAATACTACTAGAATACTACTAGAATACTACTAGAATACTACTAGAATACTACTAGAATACTACTAGAATACTACTAGAATACTACTACAATACTACTACAATACTACTACAATACTACTACAATACTACTACAATACTATTACGATAC